AAACCTTATTAAAAAATCTGCGAAATTTAGAAAAAGGTAAAACTATATCAAAGCTTATAAAAATAGCGAAACTATATTAAACACTTAGTAAAAATTTAGCGAAACTAAAGGTTTAACTGTTTTGCCAAATCTAAAATAAGTTTAGACAAGCAACCTTAATTATTATTAAAAACTTTTGTACACTTAATACAAATATAAGCAATGTCATTAAGTAAGTAGGATGATTATGTCTGAATGATAACTTTGTATACAAAATGTTAAAAGAAGAGAAAGCCAAAATTTTCACCAACTATAAGAAGGATTGTAACAATTATTTAAGAGGTCTCCATTATTAAAAGAACAACCATTACATTTAGTAATAACTTGCTTATTATAGAAAGGAGAGAGGTTATCATTATTGTCAGACTGAATATAATGTTGAATCACAAAATAATTATGAGCTTTAATTTTTCTGGTTATCTTTCTAATGATTGGTCAATTAAATTGGATATTGAGTGTTAAAATATATTCAAATATGGTAATTAATTATAGGTGACTTAAATAATTATAAGGGATATAAATTTTTTTAATATATAAGTATATAAAAAGAATTCTGTAGCATTGTTAACGTTATTTTTAGCTTTAATTTAAGTTCCAATTTGTTTTGTATAACCTTTATGCATAAAGACACATAATTTCCTTTTATGGTATTCATTATGTAATGTATGATTAATATCAAGATATACATTAAATTCAATTTATTTAAAAATTAGACTAGAAAAAAAAAACTCTCTCACCTATTTTACAAAACCAAAATTTTTATATGAAAAATAAAAAATTTTAAAGTCTGTTTTTAACAAAAAATTAATTAATAAACCCAGTATAAAGAAGGTTTCTTTTGTTTTACACCACCTTCTTACTTACATGAGAGAGTTATGACACGTAAAAGCGCAGCGAAATAAAAAAATAGTGACTCTAAGTTCATTCTATATATCGCTCTAAAAGCTCCAAAGAAAGCTGCTATTTCTACTCTAGCTCCTTCGTCTTCTTCAACCTCAACTTCTGTCCCTATCAACTTAGATTTAGAAATTGTCTAAGAAGTTTTTGGTTCACCACCAGAAAAAACAATGGAGATTGAATTTTTTGACGTATCTAAAATTGCCACACTTAACAAAATTTCAACAGTTATTCCACCTTTGAACAATAATAGTAATAATAACAACAAAGTTGATAATATTCCTAAAAACTCTTCTTCAGCTAAAGATAGGTCAAAACTTTTGAACCCTGACAAATATCTCGAAGACGATGATATGAAAGAAGACCTAAAAGATTTCACAGTTGTTACCAAAGCTACTCCTTTTGCAGTTGCTAGCCATATCAAGTTTACATCCAAAAAAAAGAATAACAGCAAAATTATTCTCGCTATCAATAATGTTTTTGCTCAAAACGATGAGTTTCAGTTCATGTCAATTTAACGCATTTAATAATCGTTTATTTTGTGATATTAGACGCAGCTACTACAGCTTTACACGTGACCATTCCTAATCTTAAGATTGACACTTTCTGTAACTTTTCTCAATACAAAGCTAATATGCAATTCAATGAAAGAACTATTCATGTCACTGATATTCCTCTACAAATGAAGCCTGTTAATATCAAACAAGTTTTTGCCAAATATGGAACTATTATGATTTTAAAATGACAGTAAGAGATATGTAGCAACATGCCTATATTACATATGAAAACCCTAAATGTTTTGAGTTATTTCATCAAGTGTGAGTCGTTTTGTCCAGAATGATTCTGTCTATATCAATCCTTGCACTTTGTCACCAGAAGAAATTAAATATAGAAATACACACTGTATCAAATTGACGAATCTTCCTTTTGGTACCTCTGCAAAAGATCTTCATGATATCATTCTTGCTACTAAAGCTAGAGCTAGCTATATTCCTAGATCCAACAATTATAAGCCTCGTTTTTTGTTATCTTACATTTTGAAAATGAGGAAGCTCTCAACCATGCAACTCAACAAAACTTTAGCTTTGGTAAATGTTGTGTTCTCCTGATGCTAGAAGTTGTCACAAATGTGGCGATCCAGTTCATCTTGTTATGAAATGCCCTTTTTACAAAAATCAGTTACACCAAATGACAATGAAAAACCTATTAAACTGAAAATACCCACTCAAAACAATTCAATGCAAAGACTCTACAACAAATATAAACCTGCTGGCTTTAGAAAATTTGTGAATTCTAATCGATTCAAACGTTTTTTCAAATCTTATTCTGAGGCCATCAAAAATAAGAATACTCCACCACCTTCACCATCAAAAGATGTTATCAAACCAACTGTGAAGGATTCTGTTCATAATCTGAATAATGAAATCAATTATAAATTGGATCAGATTCTCTCAATTCTCTCCAATATGAAAAAGGATATGAATGAACTGGATGCTAGAATCGCTAAACT